CAGCGCTTCAACCGCACTGGAAATACGGAGACCATGATTTGTACGTTCCTGGTAGTTGGCACATCTTCAACCGGTTGTCGTCAGGCATCCCGGCAGCCAGTGTTTTGGGTCAACAAGGGAATCCTATGCATGGTGTTGAATTCAACCCGGAATCATGCAAACACAACTCATCCATGCACGCTCCATCGCTAGAAAAGAAAGTCGTCAAGAGCTTGCATTTTCAATTTGTGTGTCTTGGGCACGCCAAATATTGTTTAGGACATCTACATCCGTGTTACACGTTGTACTTCATGATTCCAGCTAAATCATTCCAGGATTTCATTTGTCTGATTTACAGCGATTTGGTATTATTTCGGGAACAGCTTATTGATACAAATGACGCAAGCGTACAAAAGCATCACCTTGTTTTCTTTACTGAGTGGATACCATGAGTGGTTAATGTATTTATCAAATAATAACCTGTGATTATTGTTCGACCAGATGTCTCGACACAGAGTCAATAAGCTGTCCTGTGTTGAACATTAAAGAATATTTGGGAAAAATCAGCTATGGCATGTTAAGCAGCATCTTGTACCTACCTCGCTAACATTTATTCGCCATTCCCAGTCTGTACGCCCCTGGCTCAAGGACAGTGATAATAATCCAGGACAATTTGTAACAGCCAACAGTCAGAGCATTTACAGCAGGCGTTAACATCACGAAAGACATGATGCTACTAGTCGTGTTTTAACATTCCATGTACCCTGGAGAAAGGACCAGGTGTGAGCCATTGCAGAAGTGTTGCTTCATGTGAACTGGTGGTTGTGCGAGTTCGTTTCAACATGCCATGCTGGGGTTTTCAGCGCCACAACATACGAATGGGTGCACGCTCAACGACTCTAAGCACGATGCGGTGCACTTGGCACATGCTAAAGGTTGCGCCCATCATAGAGAGCGGCAACGATTGGCGGCGCGGTGCTCAGCTTAGAGAGCAGCAATACCTGATGTACTTACAGTGCAGGCAGCCCTGATGTACTTACAGTGAAGGCAGCCCTGATGTACTTACAGTGAAGGCAGCCCTGATGTACTTACAGTGCAGGTAGCCCTAATGCACTTACAGTGCAGGCAGCCCTGATGTACTTACAGTGAAGGCAGCCCTGATGTACTTACAGTGCAGGCAGCCCTGATGTACTTACAGTGCAGGTAGCCCTAATGCACTTACAGTGCAGGCAGCCCTGATGTACTTACAGTGCAGGCAGCCCTGATGTACTTACAGTGCAGGCAGCCCTGATGTACTTACAGAGCAGATAGTGCTGATGTACTTATCAAGCAAGCAGCCCTGATGTACTTACAGAACAGGCAGCTCTTAAGTACTTACAGAGCAGGCAGCCCTAATGTACTTACAAAGCAGGCAGTGCTGATGTACTTACAGAGCAGGAAGTCCTGATGTACTTACAGAGCAGGTAGCCCTGAACGAGCAGTAATAGCCGACGCTCTCAATGCG